GGGTGCCCAACCTCTGGCCCATGTGCCAGATGTGGCCTGTGGAGCCATTGCATGTGGCTTGTGGGGCTTCCCATGGTTGGGGGAGCAGTGGCACTTAATACAGACACCTGGGCCCCTAGCAAATTTTCAAACCCCAAGCCCTGCACTGCTGATTGCAGCTGAGCCATGCTCCCTCCCCAGCGTCTAGATTTGGGCCAGGCCATTCCTCCCCCATTCCATGGGGTTGGGTTGGGGTCAGGCCACACACCCTTCCCCCATGGGGCCAAGTCACGCCCCTTCTTCCCCCCTGGGGTCAGATTGGGCCCAGTCCGTGCCCTTTACTCTGCCCCCTAGCCATGAGACCAAGTCACTCCATTTTTCCCCTTCAGGGCCAAAACATGCCCCCTTTACCCTGTGGAGCTGGGTTGCAGTTGAGCTGCCTTCCCACCCTCATTTGTGTCCAGATGGTATCCACTGTACTGGCCCCTGTTCCTGGATCAGGACCACGGGTGTGATCTGATCCATGGACAGACAGGGCACTGCCCATGAGGCCTGCCTGCTAGGGAAAAAGGTTGAGCACCACTGATGTAGGTGAGGGCAACCAGTGTCTCAGCGAATATTTTGTTAAAATGAATGATTCAGTGTCCAAAAAGAGAATCCTGCAACATTTATTTCTAAGTTAAGGAGTCCACCTGAGAATGAGGTCTCTTGCTCTGATAACAAAGGAACTTCTCAAGTGAAAGCATTTTAAATTAATGTATGCATGTTTTGCTACTATAAGCAGTTCCTTTAAACAACACAGGGATTCTGCAAACACCATCAGGTCCTGTATATCTGTTTGGAAAAATGCAAACTTGATACCCCAGTAATGCATGGTGAAGACCACCACTTGGAGCCAACTACCATAAGCATGTTGAAATTTTTACTGAGCACAAGAATAACTTTGAATTCATAGCTTTGCATTTTGCACAGTGAGGAATTCCAGTAAGAGATTTAAGATTACAAAAGTAATTAAGGAGGTTTTGGAGGGATTTGATAGATTACATTCAGCTGCTACCACTTTTTTGTGGTCCCTGTGGAAATCCGATTTGACCTGGAATTGTGTAAGGACAGTATTGAAGAGTGATTCTGAGAAGCTCTTACTACTTGAAAATAACATTGTCTGGGTAGATTGATCATTAATTGGGCCTAGAAGAAAAGAAGACTAAAACATGGCTGCTCAAAGAAGTCCCAAGTTCCTTCTTTTTCTTACTGCATTTAAAATTGAAACTCTAGACTTTTTTCACAGATATATATTTTGAATAAGAGTGCATTGTCCTCTTCCATCACAGTAGTATGCAACTGGAAGACATGACAGTGCAGTTCAGATGATCAGTATTTAAATCTGCATTGCTGCTTTAGCCAATTCAACATTTGGTTGTTTTTTCAGCACATTTGTATTGATTTTCTAGGAATATTTTGGTAGGCCAGTGTTTTTTAAACTTGTTAGATTTGAGTTACCCCTTAAAGTTTCAGTTCTTGGTTTTCACTTGTTGTTTTGACTGGACAAACAGTGGAGCAATTCTTCAGTTGCAAAGATCTCAGAAAGATCACAGCAGATCAGTGTTTTTGATGCTGTGGATTCTTATTTAAAATCTCTGGTTTTATCTTGTGAATCGTATTTGCATACCTGTTCTTTACGTCATCTCTGTTCTTTGGTTTCCATATTTGAGTTTATTTCTTCGGAAAGGAGGTATGCTGATTTTAAATATGAATTGGTGCCTACTTTTGTGGACTTGGATCCAAATTCATGCTCATTCTAGACAGATGACATACTGTATCTGTTCTCTCTCGTTCTCCTCCCCACCCCGATCTTCTTTGTATACATGCTGTGGGTATAACAGTTCTGCCCCTCTTTGAAACTTCTAATTTGAAGAAACCTACCTTGTGCATAGGGCTAATAATAGTTACTAGGAGGAACTTCTAGTTAGAAAAAGTAATTAATAGTTTTTCACCTAAGTATTTTCTGCTGAAAGGTGGATTGTACTTAGACAATTTCTTTGAATGTGAATACGTTATAGAGTAGACCCTGTGCAAGGAACTCAGTCTGAGGCTCTGGACCTTTCTTGGTACATTTCTGCATGCTGCTGCCACCCCTCTACCCATTTTTCTCTTAGAAGATCATTTATATAGGGCTATGACACCAGGCTTCTCAGAGGTGTATGGTTGGTTTCCAGTTAATTCCTTAATGAAATAACTTCTTCGCTGTACGGGTTTTATCATCTGACTTGTTCGGGAGTATTGGGTTAGGCAGGAATATTCAAGCTTCTTGTCCTGTATAAGTGCTTAGCATGTTTGTGGGCACTGCTTAAAAAGTTACTATATCCCTGCCAGCGTTCATATAAGTCTTCTTTCTCCTTTTACAGGGCAGTTGAACTGTAATGGCAGGGATTAGAAAGCCTGACTAATTTTACTATGAAGATTAAATCATTAAGGTTTAAAAGTCTTAAGTATCTGTCTGTCCTAACAAAAACAAAACAAAAGAAGTCTTCTCCCTGCCCCTCCCTCCTTCCCCCCCCCAGTTAACAAAAAAACAACCCCAGCAACCATTCAAAGAAAGAATCCCATCTTGATTATGGAACTCATACAGGTTTACAGTGAAAGACAAGCAGTGAATTCCCAAAGGCTAATTCAGGGTATTGTCCCTAGAGAAAGAATGAATTGGATGACAATAGCAATGCAGCTCCTATGTGAAAGCATGAAAAAACAGGAGGCTTTCAAAGTTACAAAGGAAGGGTGTTTTTAAGCATCACACTTATTTTAAAATGGAATATTTCCTCCTCTCCCCTGCATCCCACATGGTGAGCTGCATTTGTGGAGCTTTTCCATACGTCATCAAATTAGAGCTCCTGTGGTGAAGTATCAATAAAGTGGCAGATCCCCCTGGGTTGGGGGGGTGCATTATAATTTGAGCGCTATAAAATATCTAAGATGTTGGAGCCAGTTACTGTAGCTTTCCTTGTACTTGCAGAACAATTCTGTGTATCCTCTTGCTGCTGCTTCCTTTTTGGTGACTCATGATGCACTGAAGATGAAACCCCTCTGTAACCTTGCCTTTTTCCTTACCTTGAATTCTTCCCCACTCTTATCTGAGCAAAATAAAACACCGTTCTTTCCAGGAGTGTTCCTATGATTTTCCAACTCGGCTTTCACATTAACTAGTCTTCCTCCTATTCCAGGTTCATGTCAAGAAAAATAAAAAGCACACTGATATCTGAATATGACCTACCTCTTCACTCCCTGAGAATCAGCCTCAGATGATGAGTTGCTTGGGTTCAGAGATGTTGGAAAAGGAAGCTAAAACACTGTTTAATAAGTTATAAGATTCCAGCACCATTCTTGTGGTGCAGCCCACTGTAGCCCTCCCGAGCCTCCCCTTTCTCTGCCCAGTACTTCAGAAACCAGTCAGTTGACATCTACCCTGGAAACTAGCTTAGTTGTCTTCAGAGCAGTACAGAAAGATTGAGATTGTATAAGACCAGCACACTTCTGTCTTCTTCCATGTTTCCATCGCTTCCTAGAAACCTCACTGGACCTATTGTGACTAGAGGTACACTGATGCATCAATCAGATACTGGATCAGCACCAACATAAAGAAAATTGCCTACATCAGAAATCAGCCTGATGTGGTTGATGTGGCCGATAAATGCCTGTGTGCGCGCGCAGCTGGTAACTCTGCTGGCAGGCTGCAGCTGTGGGCTGGGGCTGGGGCAGTGCCAGGCTCTTCTTGGTGAGGGCTGGGTCGCACTGTGCTCAGGACAGGAGGCGGTGGCACTGGGAGAGGGGGCTATGGGGGGCTAGGCTACAGCAAAATTTGGGATGGCTACAGGCCCTCTGCCGCAGTGCTGC